TATATTATTATCCATCTATACATATATATATATATATATATATTTGTGAACGAAATAAATGTTGATGACGATTATAAAAAGCAATACCTAGGGGAAATCATTTTTGGCAGAACGAAATCGAAAAAGAAGAGAGTTAAAATAAATCCACGAATAAACCGCATTGCTAAAACATATATTATTAATACTTTCGTAGTTTCGTTAATCTTATGATTACTCAAGATATTGTTTACTCGCTCTGTCCCCGTTTTAATCATGTTGTGCTTTAAGCTAAACGCGGCCGTACGTATATATGTACAGAGGTGTGTATATATACACTTCATACTTCGTTACCGAAATCTAAAATGGCGTAATTCTTTAAGTAACTGCATTTCAGTAAACGATCCGCAAAAACCACAACCGAAAACGTCAATGAGTAAATATTTGCACGTTTACTTGACTGAAACTGTGAATACCCCGCAGACTCCAACCGACCGAAACGTGCATAAATCTTAACACGAAAACCCCCTATTATGTACATAATATTATACAAGAGCGTGAGTTTTAATAGAATACTGCGTAACCAATGCAGAACCGAACTTAAAGAATTACAGAACGAATAGCAAACTCCGATAAATTGTTTCCCCTTTTTCGTATAAACCAATCGCCGTTCTATATTTTCGCCTCCGCCAATTTACTTGTGTTTGTTCAATTAATGACATTACCAAGTTGCCATGATATAATATTATCATATCAAACAATTCAAACGCAAACACATTTACTTCAACATATTTTATAAACATCATATTTTGCGTATGTATTACAATAATATATACTCGAGATAAATTGTTCTCGTGAATAATAGTAGTATATTCAAAACTTCGAATTAGATGGTAATGTATTATTATTTATTATATAGATAAAATAACCAAAAAAAAAAAAAAAAAATAGGAATAATTAGAAGGGTTTAAATTGTATTCGATGCTTTGAATGTTGTAAAATGAGACTTGAGTTTTATTGACACAGCTAAATCAAAGTTTAATTTTGCATTCGTATAATTTACTTGCCTTTGTCCTTTAGTAAAGTACAAAAGAACACTAGCTTTTAATATTTTCAGTAAAACTGTACCGAAAAAAACATTTGCAGTAAAATAAAGCGGCTTACAAAAACCGCGAATCAAAACTCAGAGGTACCGAAAGGCATCTTTTTATGAAAACGGTCACCCATAATATCTATTATCATACCCGTGTACTGAGAACATGATTTTCCTGATTATCTTATTTACATAATATGTCTGAATTAATATACATTATCATATACAATAAATATGAGTAATCACTAAAGCACCAATTTTGATTCAATCATTCTAACAAGAATTATGTGAGGTATGATCTATAGTTAATATCCGAACGAATAAATCCAAACACAACAATATATTTTTAGAGTTTATCGATCTGAAAAAATGTGTTATTCATTTTTTCAGAAAAAAAAACTTGAATTACATAATATAGACGCGAAGTGTATACCAAGCCGGCATTGAAGGTTACCCATAGACGCAGCAGCTATAGTAAAATGTGAACATACTTTGTTGGTATACCTATATAGTGGGGATCTATACTCACCTACAACAATATAAGTACCCTTGTATCATGCATATAAATATCTAAATTAGTCATTAACTGTTAGGTATATGGTATTAATTACGGACAAAACGCAAATCTAGATCGTACAACCCGCACTGACGACTATCGCGAAGTTTCCGATATAATAAACCGCAGTCTTCCCATCAGAGACCGCAGTCTCCGATACACCGAACGTGGACGTGGTTATCGTTGATCTATTCCTCCGAACGCCGACGCGCGGTCTTAAACCCCTGCTCCCCCCTCCCCCCCCCCAAGAATATATACAGATCGGTGCTTTCGAGGCTACTAACCGTATATAAACCGCCACAATCGTAACGCAATATAAGCGTACTTCCCGTTCGGCGATTCCGGTGTACACCGTATCATATAATATGTAAACATGTATAAATTGCGATTCTCGTCGGAGATAACTCGTCGTGCGATAACTGACAAATAAATTATTCGCCGCTCTCTGCTGACGGCGACGACGACGACGTCGTCTCGTGGTCGTGCCATTTGTTTGTTTCCCGGCGGACAGCGAGATCAAGACGCCGCGTGTGTATATACTATATGTAATATATATATATATATATATACACATGTTATATATAAAATATATAATATAGATGTACACGAGGGAGTCCTTTTACGATCCGAAACTGCACGTACAACAGATATCAGCTCGCCCGTTTCCGACTCGCCGACGCTGTGCGTGTATACACATACCACAACCGTGTGGCGGGTGGCAGCGGGTAGTGTTATGTGTATAAAGTAGTTTCTTTCGCCACAGTGACGGACCCTAGCGGCGAGGGGAGGGGGTGCGAACGCGGCTTTTGCTCCCTGCCACCACCATCCCCCCGCAAAAGCGTTATCGCTACTGGCAATATATTTTCCTTTGTCGTACATTGATTCGGTACAATATAATAGTGAGTCGAGTTCAGTGTCCTATCCAGCTGACCATAGTCTAATATAATATGTATAAGAACTTTGTAAAGAACTTTAAAACTAACAACGCTAGCTGCAGTATATGTTGATAAAAGGAGAGTAAAGCGCAATAGTTCAAAACTCACTTTCAAGCGAATCAGTTTTCTTGAAAATTTTGATGTATCCAAACACTCCAAAGCAAATTTTTAATGAGTTGTTTCTGTGATGCCGAAACGTTTAAACTAAGGACAAAAATACATAAAAATGGTTTTATAAAATAAAAGTTGTGCGTAGATGGTAAGGTTATTAAGTTTTTTAAATCGCCTAAGTCCCCTCTCGCATTGCCATAGACATATTATTATCCTTAGAAGTTAAGTTCAAAAAGTTATATAACTCAACAATTACTCACTTCAATTTTGATTTGGATACCTACGTCAAAATTCTCAAAAAAATGTCTCCTTAGTAATTAAAAATTAAAAAGTGGGGTTCCGATATTGAAAAACGGACATTTGTATTTCAGAGGATCATCTTAAAGTGGTACAAAAAATGCCAAATATCAGAATTTGAATATATGTATAATTTAACCACATATACAAATAGGGTGAGCATGCTAAAAAATCACTACGAACTCTATAAGAACTCTGCAATCGAATAGCCTAAAGTCCCCAAGCAAAAAACGAATGTTTTCATTCAGTTATATCATAGTGAAATAATACAATTTTTTGTGTCCATTTTATGTATTTTTTAAAACACAAATTATGTACGAGTTGCTAGCTGTTATAACTTATAGATAACCTATAAATATAATCGTTTGCTTCTGTCTGTGTACACTAAATCATATACGATCACTATACATAGTTAATTGCAACCTCATGGCTCATATACATCATAATAAACATTATGGCAATATTTTACATAGGTTATATATATATAGCGTTATTAACTATCATCTGGGGAGTAATGACTAACAAAGAAGAAAACAATTTTAAATTTTAGCGTGTTAACTAACAAGTTTAAAATAATATATTGACATTCGGCCTTTGAGTAAAACTTAAATCGATATGCATGTTTGAACGTATGAATACGAAATTCAGTTTAATTACGTTTTGCAGCTAGGGCGCGGACGGTAAAATAACTCCACCCCAAACAACACTTACGCCAAAAGCGGTATGTTCACCTATACGATGACTAAAATTCGTGTCTACACAGCTGGCTGTTATTAGCTTAACTCGCTGCCCACAAAACTTGAGTGCAAACACAAATAATAGTACCTAAATAACGAGTTAGTTCGTGCTAAATGGCTAGACAAACAGACATCATAATATACATGTGCCAGTTAGTCCAAAAACATACATCATTCGGTGCCACTGTGTGCGTATGTTTAATGATCGACTTGTCGAGTTATAAATGGGACAGACACCTCGACAGCGTGCAGTAGTTTTGCGAACGCGTCGTAATATAATTTAATAGGTAGATATTTTTACATCAGAGGCGTATTCGATGATCGCCTTTCATCGACACCTTTTTTTTTTGTCTCTGTTTATACGCGACCCCCGTAATTCAGTGTAATAACAAGAATTTATTTTTAAACATTATCGTGTAGACATTATGTTTTGTCGCTGTGGACACGATGCGCAGGACGATATGCGCATTGTAATCGCGAACCAAATCAAAGCCGAGCGCGTGCACATCATTTATATCGAGAACGTATGGTAAAAGATTTGGTCTCGCCCACCGCCATAAAACAGTAAAATCGGATGATGGATACTACACTGCACCATCGACGTATCATAGCCATGCCGTATATAAACATAATATAATATTATATTACATACACTGCAGGCACAGCGGACGTCGGGAGCGTACGACTCGACGACTGCTGCAAATGTCGGATACGAAAACCTTTGGGAACCATATAACCAGTAGTGTTCCCATAGGGTATACTACATATACGCCGTATACTCTCAAGCTTTTTCTAAAATATCATGGTTATACTACGTATACCCTCAAACAAACCATACAAAATGAAAAAATACGTAATTTTTTTTAAAACTTAAAAATATAGTATGTTTTTCTTATCCAACGTTCAATAACGACAGTAACAATAGTCACGGGCAGTTGAACAATACGTCGACAAAATAATCGTTATCGGTGGTATTTCCCATAATCGTCGTCGTCGTCGTCGTCGTCGTCAGTCTACGAAGAGTACGACGATAATAATCAAAAATAACACCATATTACTCAGGATGAATTATATTATATTGTAATATACTAATATATTATTACACTGTGTAGTATTTAGTATTAACACATGGATGTTAGTCATCGTTCGTGCGTTGTGCCTTCGTCAGTGATATGTAAACCGCCGTTACTTCGATATGTTTTATTTTTTGTTGTTTGAGCACATTGCAAATAAATTACAATTGTCTATTACATATTATATAGGTCATTTTTTTACTGTAATTTCTTGTTGTTATAATGAGTTCAAATTTGAAACGTGGCCCCCTTGATAGTTTCTTTTCCCCCAGACAAAAAAAAAGTAATTCTAATGTTGATATTGCTGTAGCTGGTCCATCAGTTGTGCCATACAACGAGAAAAATAATGATATCGAAGATAATAATGATCGGGTGGTTGGATGTGATCCAAAAATTACGGAAATACATAAAAGTTGGCCCATGTTATGGACTAATGAACAAGTAACTGAATTTCAGAAGAAAAATCCATGGATAGATTGTAAAGATGGGAAATTAGGTTGTAGTACTTGCATACAGGTAAAAAATAGTATTCAATTACAAAAATCCATTGCTGATGGTAAACTTCGAATGTCACGTGAATGGATGGACTTTGAAATAGTGGCTGCTGGAAGTAATCGTACGAATCAGCTGTCTTCTTTAAGAAGTAAAATTAAACAGCATTCAGAAAGTAAATCTCATTTATTAGCTGAAAACGTCTTAAAGAAAGGCTCTGAACAGGTTTTGGATAGAATGTTTGACCATATGTCCGAAACTGTGATTAACAGTAATATGAGAATTTTTCAAACTGCATATTGCTTAGCAAAGCATCATCGTCCATTTTTACAGTTTGAAGAACTTATTGAACTGCAGAAAATTAATGGATTAAACATGGGATCTTCCTTGCACAGTCGAATAACTGCCACTCGAATAATTAACGTTATCGCAAAAGAAATGCGCCAACGGCTAATCACACGTCTTATAGAGTCAAACTCAAAATTCACTATAATGATTGACGAATCGACTACACTGAGCACAAAGTGTACACTTATTTTATATATTTTATCAAACTTCGATTCAGAGATTCCTATTGTAGTATTTTTGGACTTAATAGAGCTGGATGGGCAAGACGCTGTAAATATTGAGAAAGCCTTGTGGTTGAGCTTAGAAAAAATTGGAATTTCTAAGTCTTTTGCATTGAAGAATTGGATTGCATTTGCAAGTGATGGAGCTAGTGTAATGACAGGCACGAAATCTGGAGTAGCTGCTAAACTTTGTGAGAAGATACCGCTACTATTTACGTGGCATTGTTTATGTCATCGCCTTGAACTTTCAGTGCATGATGTCATAAAAGATGTGCAAGGTGTTTCTCGTTTTCAAAGTTTAATGGATAAACTTTACTCTTATTATCACCAAAGTCCTAAAAATTCTAGGGCCTTAGACGAAGCTTGTTTGGAGGTTGGAATTGAAATGAAAAAAATTGGTCGTATTTTAAACGTGCGTTGGTCTGCCAGTAGTTTTCGTACGATTAAAGCCGTGTGGGAAAATTATCCAGGGATACATAAGCACGTGAGTCAAACTCTTGAAACTGGATTTAAAAAAAAATTAGAATCTTCTTCTTTCCTAGAGGAGCTTGGACTCTTTTATGATGTCCTTTTTGAACTCGGAATGCTGTCTTGTATACTTCAATCAAGGAAAACAACATTAATGCGCGCTCAATCAGAAATGTGTAGAACAATTAGAATTCTAGAAAGCCTGAAGACAGAACCTGGTGAAAAAGAAAAAGAAATCATAGAAGCTATACAAAAACGAATTCATAAAGGCATAAATATTACAATCACAAAGTCTGGAGGAATCAACAGATTGCAATTCTTGCAAAATATAGTCGATAGAATGCGTCAGCGCTTATTCAATGACTATAAAAATACAACAATATTACAAGATCTAAAGGTAAGAAATATTGAAAAATATAATCTAATTAATAATTATTACTGTACCCAAACATTTAAATTTTATTTTTTTTCATTCTGTAGGTTATTGGAGAAGTCTTTAAAATAGAAACCGATGATGATAGAGGAGAAGAAGAAGTTAAAAGAGTGTCACGCAAATTTGGTCTATCTGAATTTGAAAGTTTAGTAAACTTTCGTTCACGAAATGCGTCTTCTGATCTTATAAAAACACTAAACATACTTCCAACAACAACTTCCGAATGTGAACGAGGATTTTCTGATATGAATCTCACCATAACTGATCTTAGAACTCGTTTAACAATTGAAAATGTGTCAGATTTAATGTTTATCTCCATCAATGGCCCCCCAGTTGAAGACTTCAATCCACGACCATACGTAAAAATTTGGCTGCGAAACCACAGATCAGCAGATTCAGCTCCACGTGGTAAAGAACAAAAAAAAACCGTCGACGAAGAAGATAAGTTAAGAAAACAATTTTTTATCAATTTATTTAAATAATTCATTTTTATAATTTTGTTTTGATATAATAAAAATGTAATAATAATTTTTTTAGTTATTAATTAAACCTCTCCACCACTTTTATCGTAAAAATAATGAAATACCTATATTTTGGCGTTCTTCAGCGTAGTATACTCTCATACAAAATGATGGGAACATCACTGCATATAACGTCGACGATCGATATAAGAGTGACAAAAAGATAGTGCACACACGCACACACACGCACGCACACACACACACTCGAGACTGGTGGCTTTTATCGTGCGACATTTTTCGGGTGCGTGCAAAAGGTTCCCAGGATCGTTTTCCACGATCTCCGAAGTACATATTTAGGTACATATATAATATGACGTCGTATAGCCTCGTACGCATACGATATACATCATACACGCAAGCGAATACGTATATTGTTGTACACACATCTAGTATTATTATGTTTATTTATTGTAATATTTTCAATTTTTCACCCCGCCTCATGGTCGCGATTGACGTCCGTTTCCTCGTTCGTCGTCGGTCCACATACACGCATATACACCCGATAGAATATATACGGCGGATATGCACGGTTAATATAATATATTGAGGTACCTATACATAACCTATATGTATATAGTATATTATACATATTATAAAATATGTGTATAAATAAAAATATATTTGTACACATGCGTTTTGACGCCGACGAACAGCACTGGTATAGTGGTATCGCGCGGCGAACGTTTGATTCCGATTTTGCAACATCTTTTATCACATATAAAATAAAAAAAATACGGCTCACAGTCGTGCGATTTCGACCGATAGATTTTGTATCATAAAGGTGTATACATTTTATACTTGAAAGCAAACTTTTCTCTTATTTTTCATCTTATATTTTTTTTTTAGGAGGCAAAATATATATAGGTATTTCAAAAGAGGTCAAGTCATTTAACATTCTAAAACTGTTTAAACTTTTAACAGCAGGAAGAAATTTATAAGGGCAATTATGAAAAGAAAAATGGAAAAGCTAAGCGTATTATACAAAAAAAATTAAATATGAACCGAATAAATCGTCATTAAAATAAATGGGCAGTCGACTTAAAGTTTTTCGGCTGTATACGTACAAGTTATGCGGCATGGGGGCAATTTAAAGAGAAACACTAAAGGCGAATTTTAAATAAAATTCATAATTTTACGAATTCTGTACATTACTCGGCCATAATAAAATAGCGGCCATAAGTCAGTTTATAGTACACATAGTACCTAATTGTGTTGCGATTGTTCTATATAAAATAAAATAAAAATAATTTTTCGACAGCCCAAAAACTCGATTATGATATTAAAAAACAAACAACAACATCGTAACAATAATAATATAATAATATTAAAATGAAAAATAACAATGACTGCACTATGCATAGTGTTTTAAAAAGGTTCGTAAATACAAAAATATACATGTAGACACAGACAGTTGGTTGAAAGGTCATGGCACTTCGATCATGTCACTTAATTGCTTTTATTTTTATTGTTTTGTAACGGTGTATACGAATCTACGGCGGAAACGCGACGTAAATACACTGAAAACACACGTCAGTGTATAGTATATTATTATTATTAGGTGATTGGGCCGTGTGCGTTTTCGAATCTAAAACCAAATCGCCGATAAAATAATAATAACAATAATAATAATATTCACGATAAATAAAACCGATTTCGATCGTTAAGGCGTAGGTAAGTATATATAATATTATTTATGACGGCGACATTACACGCGTGTATTATAGGAGATATTTTATATAATATCATATACGTATAGATAATATGTATTGCAGCATATTACACGCGTCTCGATAGACGTTGTTAAAAATCGATATAGTGCGTTAGTATGTAAGGCAATAAAAGCGGAAAAAATATTGCCACTTAAACGAGACTATAACCGCGTCGGTTTGGAAATGAAAAATAGTTGAACTATCCCATCGGTTCAATTTCGCGGGGGGATTATATAGAGAGCGCAGTCTCCCGCTCGTTCACACGCTCACACACAAAACTATACAATGTGTATATAAACATATATACAGCACTACATACAAGCCGTGCTAATGTAGCCTGTTAAAAACGTTTAGACGGGAACGCGACCCAAATGCCATTAGTTGTTAATATCGTCTGTACGCCAAATGGAAGCTGACAAAAATTATCGAATTCTCCGCAACAGACTATAGGACAGCTCGAAAGTATTTCCAGTGAGATTTCACGCCGGGTCTTCGATTCTTACGGAATGACAGAGACGAACTGTTTTTGGTACTGTAATATACAACACTTATATTCTATACAATATGGTTGCATAATAAGAGCAGGTTAAAGGCAGTGACATGCTCAGTTTCTTTGAAAGGGGGGATCGAATGTTTGACTCTCCTCAGACACGTTATGTATACATTCATCGCTTGGTCGTATACAATTTACGACAAAAATAAGCCAAAGTGAAGATTTGACACCCTCAAGCAACCCCCCACCCCACCACCATCCATGGGCACGCCACTGGTTATAGGAATTATTACATAAAACAATATAATTTCAAGGTAAATAATAAAAAAACATGTTCATCAAATCAAAGACAGGTTGTCATATTTATGCATATTTGTTTTAGATAAAAGTGTAACAAGCAAATTGTATTAAATAATTCTTGACAACAATTCAACAATCCTGTATAATATACCTACCAAATATATGATCAAACAATACAACCATATAATACGTGATTGATAATACCTATCAATTATTGTATATAACACACGGATATTATGTAAAAATTGTAATTTATATAGGAACATATTAGTCGTATATATTATAGTATATTATGATCACAGACGCATTTTTTTTTTCGAAATAAAGTTTTATAGCTTTTTGCTCTTTGGCTGTTAACACAAAAAAAAATGGTATACAGTTATACAATAAAACATATATTATATATATCTATATAGAACTCACGCGTCATTGATGTGCGTAAAATAAAAGCATTAAAATCTCGAAAATATATAACAATACAAATTGTATAAATGAGAAGAATATATATAGAGTATTTTAATGTGATTACATCTCGTGAGTTACGTAATGTAAAAATATAATTAATGAACATAAAATACATAGATAGTAAATGTTTCAAAAATATATTACAAAATTTCAAAAGCAATAAACACAGTTATTTATTGACGAATTGTAGAGTTGTAAAATGTCTGCACAAAACAGAGTATCTACTCTATATCATTGTGATTCTTAATTCAAGAAGTTCCATTTATTTTCGTCGATACGCTATAATAGCAAAATAAACCTCCATCAAATTGTTTTAAAACAATGGCATTGTGTTTGTTTTTTGATACACCCATTATAATTCATTAAAGAAAAAACAATGTTAAGCTTGACAATTTAAATATGAAAAAATATTAATACAATTACGATTCAATGTCGCCTATTAATATTGGTTCTAACCTCTCTAGATAGTGATCTGTGGAAAGAGAGAGGTCAACCGGAGGGTTTTGATGATAGAATTCCATTCGTATTCTTCTATCCGATCGACTTTAATCCCAACCACCCACCGTACGACACAGACGATTCATTATTGTTTCGAGGTCAATTCGCAGGACGAATGCTGCGCTAGGAGTCCACCAAGTCACGATTATCGTCATTCTGGAAGAATCGACCAGGCACGGACACTGAAACGCTCAGTAGTCTAAGGTAGGACTTGAAACCGTTCCATTTACAAGGCAATTGCCAATTAGTAGTAAATCTTGCGTAATCATGATATATGTCACATTGTATCGTTAGTGTATTTTACTAATCAATCAATAAACGTATTCGAAAATAGATGCATTTATAAAATACGTTTTCATTTCAAATTATATATTTGTTCATGATAAATCGTGATTTGCTTATACGATTAAGGACGTGAACGTCCCATACAGATAATATAAATATAAATGCATGACGGGTTAATCTATATACATCATAATTCATAATACAGATAAGGGTATTAAATAATATTGGTAAAAAAACAGCACGTGTCAAAAATCACAACTCTTCGTTTAGGATAAATGCTATTTTTTTTTTATACTTGACAATAATAAATTGTTAAATCAAGAGCACGCGTGTCATTTAGAACCCCAAAACGTCAATATAGAAGGCGACAAACAATACATTATTTAATCTAATAAACTTTCGATGGGTATAACAACAGATAGGTGCACACCGTTCTCTGAAAATGTGGGCAGTATTTATTGCTCCATATATACAGAGGTTATTTATTTGATACAAGAAATAGTTTTTTTTTTCAGGTAGGTACTTTTTTTGGCCAAAACTAGGGATTTTGTAGGGATCGTTACTCGCATAGGTCATTTCCCGCGGGAATTTAACCCGAGTTCTGTTATTATATATATGTACATGAATGCTGTACTTAATTAAAGCTAAATGTCGGGTGGACTTAGAAACCCGAGAGCCGAGATTGAAGTTTGTTTTATCTATTTAGGAGCAACACGACATTGCTCACCCGCTTACATTCTCTCTCCGGGGAAATGCTCAAACGCCACGGCTTGAAGAACAGCTGAAGACTTCTGAATGCCCTTTTATTTTAGATTCTGAGAGGAGCGATGAATGTATTGATTTTACAATGATGTGTTTTTATATTTTTTTACTTATTTTTGTGTCTGTCATCGCTTTTTGGGACAGTAAAAGTGTTTCGATTTTCTTCTACAGCATCTTTTCTAGTAGAAAAGTGAATGTAGTTGGTACTTTGGGAGGTCAAGAATAAAAAATTCCCAATAGTTTTCAAACGCGGCAGGAAAAACAAACAATTAAGGAAAGACAGGAATTTTTACGAAAACCAGGTTTTCGACAAAATCAATTTTCTTTTTTAATGTGACTCTAAACAAAATATCGTAGGTACATGAAATTTTCGCTTAATGTTTATATCAGCGTTTTCTATACACCATACAAC